TGTGTGTGTGTGTGTGTGTGAGAGAGAGATGCGCATTGCCCCTTTAAGTTCACTGACTCCACTCTAAGTACATTGCTTTTTAAGTAGATCAGCAAGTTGAGACAGCAACTGCTGCTAGCAAGCTCCCTCTCTCCTGAACCCTGTTGTGTTGTTCCCCTGCTCTAGAGAGATGGGGTAAGTGGGGGGCAGAGGGGAGGGGGACACCCTGACATTAGCCCCCTCTTTTATCCCCCCGACCTGCACAGCAAGCAGGAGGCTCCTGGGAGCAGCTCCAGGGCAGAGGGCAGGAGCAGCACATGGCAGTGGGGGGAGGGATAGCTGCAATTGCTAGCCTGCTGGGTGGCTGCTGCACAGGGAACTTAGGGGAGCGGGGAGCTGATGGGGGGCTGCAGGCCCACCCTGGTTCCAAGCCCCCACCAGCCAGCTGCAACGGGCTGCTCTTTCTGCAAGCAGTGGACAAAGCAGGCGACTGCCAAACGTTATAAGGGAGCATTGCGCAACTTTAAACGAGCATGTTCTCTAATTGATCAGCAATGTAACAACAAAACAACAATAATTAGGATGACTAAGTGAGGAGTTACTGTACAATCATTGTGATGCTGTGTTATTTCATATCCGGCTACTTTATATATACAGATAGATAGGGCCCAGTTCTCAGCCACACTGGATTTACACTGGTGTAACTACACTGAGTCTATTGGAGTTGCTCCTGATTTATATGGGCATAAATGAAACAGATATCATACATGCAGTATTCTGTATGGTGTTGTAACCGTGTTAGTCCCAGGATATTAGAGAGAAGGTGGGTGAGGTAATATCTTTTATTGGACCAACTTATGTTAGTGAGAGAGACTAGCTTTCAAACTCTCTGTAAGCTCAAAAGCTTGTCTCTTTCACCAACAGAAGTTGGTCCAATAAAAGATATTACCTCACTCACCTTGTCTCTCTAATACAATATTCTGGTCAGGCACAGCCAAAGGAACACAAAGTCTCAAAATACAGAGAGCGAGGGCCAAATTCTCTATTGTCCATTGGGTCAACAGATTTAAGTCCTCAAAGAATTTGGCTAGATACTTTCTTCACTGATATTTCTACCCTCTGAGGAAATTAGCTAGCTGGAGATTTTGAGAGCAAGAGCTATTCTGTGACACACCCCCCCCCCACCGTGCATCAATAGGAATGTTCACAGTACTACAAAACTTGCTGGAAAATGTTTGAAGACTTTTTCAAAGCAAGGTGGAAAAAGAATTAAAAACTGTCACCATAGCTACAGTGGTACTCAAAGTTGACCTGAAATGGCTGCAGGCAGTACAAGAATGCTAGAGAGATCACATAAACGTGGAACGGATTTCTGGACAAAAGGGACATGCAGCTTCCATTTTGTACCGTTCCTTCTGGGCCACTTTAACCAAGTTGTCTGATTGCTTCTGAGACAACAAATATTGGAAATAGCCCAGGAACTATTTTGCTCAACATGTATTTTATTTATACCCGTGATATACAAGTGCTTCAATTTCTTCTGAGGTGTGACATGCAGTTGCATAATATGTAAAATTTCCTGGTAGCATAAGCACTACATACAACCATGCACTTAATCTTACAAGCTTCATTTTATGCTCTAAATTGCAGGTTTAAAATACTACTTTGTCCACTTTAGCTTTGTATGATAAGGCAAAATATATTTCAAGAAACCCATTTTATTTGTCCGCGTTTTGTAATGCTACCAGAATTCACTTAAGTATTGGACAAAATGCTCTTCAAAGAAGGATTTTATCCTAACTGTACAAAAGAAATCGGAGAACAGATTGCAAAAGTTAAGGCCTTGATCCAGCAAACACATATGTGAGTAACGTTACTTATGTGAGTAGTCACATAAGTCTTTTCCATTCTTGACAACATTCTTGAGAGATCTTTATAATTATTTGATATTTATTAAATATTGGATGTGACATAATTGTACAAAACTGAATGCCTCTAGCCGATTTTTACTGTGACGCCTAGGCACCCCCTGAAAAGTGTATTCCCTGGAAACTCTATTTGACAATACCGCCTTGACACTTTCCACCAATACTAAAAGTTTAGCTTATTGCTCCAGGTTTATCTCTGCACAGCCATCAGCATCTCATAGCTCTGTCATGCCAGCTTGATCCCATCCTTTTGTAGGAAGCATCTTGCAATCCTCGTGAATGAAGCTTGATTATGACAAATACGTTTTACCGAGCAAGCGAATGTATCTTGGCTCAGAAGCATCAGCATTGGACAGCCAACAATCACAGAAATACTCCAAGATCACAGGATATTTCATCCTACCTTAAAGCATTCCCACCTGCATCCAGTAAAGTCACACTGATTTTTAAAATCCCTTTACTGATGTTCAAGATTTTCTTACTCCGTTTTATTTTTCTGATTATCTTTCAATGTCTATTACAACTTGTCCTTTGGGGTGGAATTTTCAGGGGAGCTAGTCACCTAATCCCCCCTGGATTTCAAAGGGATCTGGAGGCTTAAGTCCCTTTGGACTTGTCTCTTCTGCAGTGTTAATTCAAGATATAACTTGAGTACAGCCCTTAACCTGACTCCAGTCCACGCACAGAAGTCTCTAGCTCGAGTTAACTGGTGCTTTAAATTGGAGCTCCCCAGCGATCAGCAGGTCTGGGTTAAAAGTGGAGTTCTGTAATACAGTGGAGACACTGCCACTTGGTGCTGCAAATCCAAACACTGCAGCTAGAGCTTTGTTTTAGAGTGTAATGCAGGGGTAGACACCCTATGGCATGCGTGCCAAAGGCGGCACGTGAGTTGATTTTCAGCGGCACTCACACTGCCCGAGTCCTGGCCACCGGTCCGGGGGGCTCTGCATTTTAATTTAATTTTAAATTAAGCTTCTTAAACATTTTAAAAACCGTATTTGCTTTACGTACAACATTAGTTTAGTTATATATTATAGACTTATAGAAAGAGACCCTCTAAAAATGTTAAAATGTATGACTGGCACGCGAAACCTTAAATTAGAGTGAATAAATGAAGACTCGGCACACCACTTCTGAAAGGTTGCCGACCCCTGGTGTAACGGTTCTCACTCCAGTTAGGCTAACTCAGGAGAAGTTACCTCAAGTGTAGATAACTCCAGCTGACACTGCAGTGAAGAAAGCCTTAGTTTCATCTGGAAATCCCAAAGTTCTTAAAGTACCTGCTATTTAATTGGCTCTTAATTTAATCATTCAGAGACCTGGAGCTTTCTGTAATTTTGTGACTTATCTGTGGATTACTCTTCCTAGAACCATCAAAACCTCCAACCTTAACTTACTAATAAGCACCGATTTTGCTTATTAAAACAAAGCCAGAAATTCCCTATGTTTGCTACTGCTGTTAATTGTTTATACTTAATTCATTTCTATTGTAGAAGTGTACAGCATCTGGAACATTTTCATATTTTATGAATTCAGGCTTTTATGCACCATGTTTGTTGCCTGAACAAACTTCTTCCAGAGCTAGGCAGTAGGTATGCTGCAGTGTACAATTCACCCTACGGTACTCTGTGTTCCAAAACATCTGATCTTTCTGGAACAGTTCCAACCCTGCTCTAGCCTCTGATACTATAAATGTAAATGTTATACTCGGCAACAAAAGCAAATGTAATTTAATTGTTCAAAGAATGTCTCAAGAATCTATTTTAATGTTCTCTCTTGAGTTTTCTAATTTTGGTGTCCATGGAACTTTACAGGGGCATAATACAATGTAATGACAGTGCATCCTTACCTGTGAACCAGCTGCTTACGGCTTACACAAATAGCAGTCTCATAGTCGTGAGTGACGCACACTTTATGGGGGCTGCACTTTACCTTCAAACATGGGTCTTTGGATGGATCAAGAGCTATTAAAAACAAATGTAAAAATAACCAAGTTAGGAGTTTAAGTGAAATTCTCTCATCGTTCCCAATTCAAATAAAGAACATGCAACTAGTGGGAATAAATATAGAATCATAACACTGGTAGGGACCTCGAGAGGTCATCTAGTCCAGTCCCCTGCACTCGTGGCAAGACTAAGTATCATCTAGACCGTCCTTGACAAGTGTTTGTCTAACCTGCTCTTAAAAAGCTCCAATGATGGAGACTCAACAACCTCCCTAGACAATTTATTCCAGTGCTTAGCCACCCTAATAGTTAGGAGGTTTTTCCGAATGTCCAACCTAAACCTCCCTTGCTGCAATTTAAGCCCATTGTTTCTTGTCCTATCGTCAGAGGTTAAGAAAAACATTTTTTCTTCCTCCTCCTTGTAACAACCTTTTACATACTTGAAAACTTATGTCCCTTCTCAGTCTTCTCTTTTCCAGACTAAACAAACCCATTTTTTTTCAATCTTGCCTCATAGGTCATGTTTTCTAGACCTTTAATCATTTTTGTTGCTCTTCTCTGGATTCTCTCCAATTTGTCCACACCCTTCCTGAAATGTGGCGCCCAGAACTGGACTCAAACTAGAATGTTAATGAGTGGGTTCTGTGACGCCCTAAGGATTCATCTCCAGCACATCATGGAAGAGGTCAGGATTTTGATTTTAGGTCTCCCAAAACATAATGGCAAGGTTGCATCTCCAACTAACTTAAAATATTTTTATATCTGTTTTTATTTGGACTTTAATTTTATTACTTCTTCCTCCCAAAGATTTCCCCTAATTCCTGCCTAGCATCCCTTTCCTTCCCACATGTATTGCTTATTTGAAAAAAATTTGTGTTCATTTTGGAACTCCATGTAAGGCGTTTATGTCAAATTACCCTGGCTGCTTTTCCCATCATTGGTTGATGCCCAGGGAAGTTTTAAAAAAAGACATTACTTTTTACAAAAAGATGGAGTCATTTTTAAGTTCCAATTCAATTACCACTGACGTTCTCCACATGGCAGCAAATGTATTTCTAACAACTAGAGGGTTCTTTTGCTCTCCCGCCGTGCCGAAGTATTGCAGCTGTTCTGCGTTGGTTTAAGCAGACAGAGCAGCAAGAGCTCACCACATTAACACCCATTACAGATTTGTGATGGGCAATTGAGCACAACCAGTGCATATGTATTTAGAGGAATACAAGGCGCTGGAAGTCTTAAAAACAAAAAACAAATGTAAACAGCTTTTGCTCCTAAATCGATTAAACTGTATTAAACTGATAGAAAAGGTCATACGTTTCCCATACCATTAACATCTAATGAGTTTCCATTAGGCATATATACACACACACACACACGGTTCTATTGTATTGTCTATGTCTACCTTGTATGCTTCTGCAAGCAAGGATCATGAACTAAATTGAACCCAAATGGTAGGGATAAACTTGGCTTTATGGATAAAATCCTGCTGATTTTACTCAAGGAAATCAAGAGTAGTTTGGCATGAGTAAGAGGAACAGGATTTGGGTCATTATGAAGTATATGGCACTGAACACAGAGTGAGTGCTCAACAAATAACAATGGTACTGAAGAATTTGATCTGTATTACTCATCTTTGCAAGGTACAATTACCTCTCTGCACGTGAATTCTGAAATCTAGGATAAAAATTGGTGCAGCTGTAAAGTGACTAAATCCTAAAACAGTGTCACATTATAACCTATTTTAATAAAAAGTAAACAAAATGTTTAAATACTCTTCACACACAAAAATAGAGGAACCCAGTATGGGAATCAAGTATCAGAGGGGTAGCCATGTTAGTCTGTATCCACAAAAACAATGAGGGGTCTGGTGGCACCTTAAAGACTAACAAATTTATTTGGGCTTAAGCTTTCGTGGGTAAAAAAAATCCCACTTCTTCAGATGCATGGAGTGAAAATTACAGATACAGGCATAAATATACTTATACCAAATAAATCTGTTAGTCTTTAAGGTGCCACAGGACTCCTCGTTGTCAGGATGGCAATGGTGCAGCAGAACTTTCATATATATAGAAAGCATGTATAGTTTGAATGCTCTTGTGTTTAAAGACTTCAATGGGGCCAGAATTTCACTCCTGGATTCTATTTCAGTTACAGATTCATAACTTCTCTGTGTCTCAATATTTTCCTCTCTCAAATGGGAATAATAATAATAAAAGGGGCAATCTATATTGGGTACAAGAGATCAAAAATGTAATTCCAAAGAGTTCAGAATGTTAAAACGTTAAAGAAATTTGCAAGTTTATGCTAATGCTATGCAATACAATCCCTAGAGACAGGGCACAAAATAAGAAATAATTTCTCAAATATACCAATCAAAGATCATGGTTTGTGAATCAGGTTTCTACATCACTAGGAGCAGATGCTCATCATCTGCAGAAGAAAAGGCCTTTGGGAATAGGGTGACCAGATGTCCTGATTTTATAGGGACAGTCCCGATTTGGGGGTCTTTTTCTTATATATACTCCTATTACCCCCCACTCCTTGTCCCAATTTTTCACACTTGCTGTCTGGTCACCCTATTTGGGAATAAGATGAAATATAAAACCCATATTTGACATCACAGTTCTTTGTGTTCTACAGCAATAAGTGTGAAGTCTTTGAAATTAACCAAAATTATAAATACATAAATGAAAGGAGGGAAGGGCAGGTAAAAAGTAATTTTTTAAAATAAAAATCTGAGGTCAGTTTTATTACAAAAATAAAATTCCTGAAGCATTCAAGGGAAACTTCAATATTCTGAAACAAATGTTTTTCCTGTGAAAAATTTGGAATGTTTGACTTTTCATTCCAATTCATGATGATTCCCCACCTCATTCCCTCACCCCCCTTCAAAACTTTTGCTGGAAGGAAATTCCATTTTCTGGCCAGTTCTACTGTGGATCTAAACCCTGCAGTCTCTCGCTATCTGACAGCGCAAGAAAGGAGAGCTCTCTGGGATAGCCCAGGGAGTGATGAGGGCATGGCTAGCGAGTCCAGTACCTGTATAGATTCAACAGCCACAAAACTTCTGTGGGAGAGTCAAGCAGCATTGGGCCTTAGCTCGCTGGCTCTAAAGGTTAGCTGCATAAAAGTGCCAAGGTGCAGTGCTTCCATCCATGGGTGATGTTTTCATCCCCGACACAATGCCAATTTATTCAAACTGTGAGCATGGAACCAGAATTCCAGCCATCGTCATTGAAAAGCAAAGTGCGTACACAGGTGTCATTTCATTTTCATCTGACCTTTTATTATTTATTCATAGTAATTTATGCACCTTATTAAATCTATAAATCCTCTGTGGTTCCCTCTTAGAGATATCAAACTAATTGGGAAATAAACAGTAGTGATTGCATCAAGCCATTAACAACCTCCCAACAGTATGTTAGCATCTCTTTTTTACAGGGCACCAATATGAAAATAATGATGGCAGTTACATTCTGAGTGTCCTCCCCCACTAGTCAGAGAAGAGAAGAACACCACAAATTATTCTCTCTCCTCCCCCAATACTTGTCACCAAGAGCTCCAGGTTAACAATATAAATCATCCTTGGACAAAGAGCTAACAATAGTGCTTGAGACACTTTTCCTTTCCATTTCGTGTTTTTACGTATTACTACTATAAAGGAAGACGTATTACTGATAGGAAATAGTGGGGTTCAGACAGTAGCAATACATGCAGAGGGTTGCGATATTAGACTATACTGTAGATCAGGGATCATATTAATCAGAGCAAATTTATTTTTCACAGACTCCGCAGCAAAATCTCTTGCAGCAATGGCTGTGCAGTTCTGCAAAACGTGTACAACTAGTTCACAAGTGCAAATTTATGACCTTGATGTTGTTTTCATGACCATTCTTTTGGGAAGAGTTCAAATTCCAAACCCACACATATTTAGTAAAGCTTATATAAAAAAGCCAGGCAATCAAAAAGAAAATGACATGTAAACACATTTGGTTTCAAAAATTGCCATACAATAAGTGCTATGATCACTCCAAAAACAAAAAGACTTTTGAAAAATGAAATGTCAAGAGCAGTTGCCTCACACAATCCTCTTGGAACTGTTCTCAGCATAAGAGAAAACAAGACCATCTGGTGAGAAAAGCGATGATGAACTGGAAAATGGGACCTGCAGTGTATAATGCAAAGATTCTAGTTCATTTTGTTTCACAATAGAGCATGGTAATAAAACATTTATTTTAAAGGAGACACTCAAATGTACTTCTGTATTTTATATATTATTTGTCTCCAGCAAAGATCTTGGTTCTGTATAAACAGAGGAAGACAGTCCCTGACTGTACAAGCAAGCAGATGGGGTGGGGTCAGAATGGAAGCCTGTGAAAAGCTGAGTTAGGGCAAAGCAGAAGACTACCACTGATTATGCTGCTAGGCATGAAATCATTATAACGCCTAAGGCTGAACTTCAGACTGAGGAGGCAAGGTCTCAAGTCATTCCCTACACTCTCAATCACAGCAGCCCTGCAACTGGTCAAAGAGCAGGGTGAAACAGGCAGCTCACTACTGACTCCAATAGGCAATGGATGCGCTAGATTTTTCCATGTGGGGGAGGTCAACATGAAACTGGCAGCTTCCAGAATCAGTTCCCCACAATCATACAATGAATTATGGGCCTTGACCCAGCACCCACTGAGAAAACAAGACACCTATCCTATTCGGCCGTCACTTGACTAGGAAAATGTTGTTTTTAACATTTATTAAGATCTTAGTGTAGGCAGAGAAGTTCTAGTTTTAACACTTGTTAGCTGGTTGACGTAACCCCCAAGCTACCCTTTAGGCTTTACCTTGACCAGCTACCGTGTTAAAACTAGAACCGCCTTATCTGTGGTAGGATTTTAAGGTGTGTTAGCCAACCTGTTTTTAAAAGAGCCCATTCTTCCTAGCGTAGACATGGCCTTTGTGTTTGCTGTTGAGGACATTCAGTTTAAAACTCTGCTCTCTTCTCCCTCCGAATAGCCTGGCTCC